AAAAAAAAAAAAAAAAAAAAAAAAAAAAACACAACATTTTCCAATCAATTTATATATCTATTCATTCTGAAAAAAAAAATATCATCAAATACCAATCTATTTCTATATAATTCCATCAATATTTCGATCTCGTAATCGATTTCACGAAATGAAAAAATTGATTTTGAATCATCGATTCCTTCTAAAATCTATCAAATTCATATTCACGCATATCACCATTATATCATTTCAAATATTATTATCATCTGTCGATCATTTTCAATAGAAAATTTTCAAATATCATTTCGATCCTATTCTGAAAATAGAATTATCTATACGTTTATTCCTTTTCAAAAGAATAAAAGAATACGGAATTCATGCAAATCCTCTAGATCGAATAGACTCTTATCATATGATTATCAAAATTTTCATTTATATCCGAAACAAAAAATTAAAAACATTTTCCAAATATTATCCTTATATATATATATCAATCATATCTAAGCATAGTTATTACCCCAGAAATATTTAGAATCTAGCTCGGATATCATCTATTCGTATTTGACGAAAAATAGAAAAACTTCAGATGTTTTTTTATGGAAAATTATCTCTCATCTATGATTATATAATCAATATATTCAATGAATATGCATATCATTATTCTTTCCATCTCGATGATAACTGATAATTTCAAGAATGCAAATACAAATCATCTTCCTGTTAGTAATCTCTCCTGAATATGAAATATGAGAATATTCGGTTGTATCCAAATCTTCTTGATAATTTTATATTATGAAGATCGTTATTCTATACTCATTATTATTCTCTTGCTTTTTTGTCAATCGATCTAGGAATCTCGTATCGTTGAGCACAGATCCATTTCTCATGATGCATAAGCTAATCAGGTAGCCTGATCTTCATGGCGTTCATCCTGCGACAGGAACAAAGAAACATAATCATGCTCCATTTCAATTTGCCGCCCAAAATTGCACCAGGCAACACAGCTGGTCGGGCCTTTCTTGAACTGGTGCTGCCAGCCTCAGGTAAGGCAAGACAAAAACCCTGCAACAACCACGTTACACCATGCAGCATACTTAGAAGAACCAGGACACCTCATCTTCAGCTTTAGTCTCCAACTTCTGCTGCTCCTTCTGCTCCCGCTGCTGCTCCGGCTGCTGGTCCTGCTGCTGGTCCTGCTGCTGGTCCTGCTGCTGGTCCTGCTGTTGGTCCTGCTGGTCCTGTGGCTCTGACTGCTCCTGCTCCTCCTTCTCCAGCTCACTTTGCTCCTGTCCAGGGAAATTGATGGCAACAATGCGGGGACGTCTTGTCCGGACCTGCGTGCTGCATCAAGAAAGAAAGGTTGCCTTCAGAGAATGCACCGCTATTCAAGTTGGATAGATACCAGCATAATGCCCGGAGGGGTACTGCTAACAATAGACTGACGAGCCACTGTCCTCTGAAACTTGAACACCCGAGCTCCTGCGAGGCGACTACCGTGGTGACGTCCTCAGCAACGACCTCAGTGCCAGATGTGCAACTTCCAACAGTCCTGCGAAGTTTTCAATTTCTAGCCTCTCCGTTTCTCATCTTTTTGAAACACATTGCATGAATTTTGCCATGCTGGTCAGTTCATGGAATGTGGGGCTTCGCCCAACATCAGCGCATGAGTTTGCAGGTAAGCTCCCATAGCGGGCACCGGACAGTTTACCGGCCTATGCTATCTGCAACTCCGTGACTTTTTCTGCTTCAGGATCTGAAGGGCAAAATACCTCCGTGACGACAAGAACAAGATTTTTTTGCGATGCGACACAAAGATGCCAACTTGCCTTCTCCTCCACTCCAGCTGCTGCACTTGTGGCAGGCAGCGTCTTGGAATCCGGTGCAGTGGGTCTGTCTTTTTCCTGCCATTCAGGAGAGTTGAAGCTGAACTAAATATTATACCACTAAGAACATAGACACATTCATGAGTTGCGATGGTTTATCAACCAAAGAAAACATCAAACATGTGAAGCATTCATAAACGCTAGGAGACTCATGGTGAGAAAAGGTGTTGCGCATTCTGTCTCTTTGTGCCATTGACTCTCATGACCCAGTCAGAAACTCTCTCATCAGTTTGTTTCACGATGTTCTGGGTCCAGAAATACCATGCAAGCGCACGCCTGAGCCTCTGACCCGATGAAGCTTTGATCAAACTGCAGCTTTTTGTGACGTGGTTCGTTTCGCTGCCAGGTGGGTTTCGCTTGCGTTTCAAGAGCTAAAGCTCTACTGTTGAATCGTTTACGTTTGTGCGTCTCAAAAGCGTGGTCTGTATGGCCTGTACTACAGCTGCATTACCAGATCATTGTTCTTGGGGCCGCATTCAGGAAGCAAGCATTTCTAGCTGCAATGCCCCCTGCAGGGTGCATGGCACAACGTGTGTTCCGGAATGAACCATTTATATCACCACCTCACGGAACCTTTGGCTGCCCGATGTGCTTCAAAAGAGTGCAGAAAGGAGATGCTGCGGCTGTTCTGGTGAGAGTTATCGTTCTCGTGCATCACGTACACCACAAAATGAACCAAATAACTCGTGCTAGCTGTTGACCAACTTGAAGAGTCGGGGAGGTAGCTGCAGCCTAAACATCCAGGCAACTTTCCAGCTAGCAATAATACCAATCATACATTTATCGTGCGCACCCAAAGTGCGAAGTATCATACGGTTCACCAGTTTGCACATTTTTTAGAGAGGGTAAAGTAAGGCAAGAAAGGCTGTGAAAGGCCGGCACAAGTTCATAGTCTTTCATGTGTGGCTATCTGTTATCCAAGGGACTGTCTCTGACTCTGGCTGAGGATCTGGAGGGCGAAGTGCCTTTGTGTTTGAAAGTGCCGGAGCCTGCTGCTCTGCGATACTAGAATGCCAGCTTGCCTGCTCTTCCACTTCAACTGCACTTGTGGCAGGCAGCACTTTGGCATCCGGTAGCACGGATTGTTCTGTCTCCTGTCATTTCGTGCACTCGAAAAGCAGACTGGACAGCTGCAACCCTATAAATGTCAGCGTCATGATGAAGGATTGGCGCATATTTCGCCCTCCATTTCTTGCACAGACTAGGCCTTCAAGATGAGCTTCTGTATGTCACCGCGACAGTACCGCACAACTTTCGAGCCTTACATAGAACCAGAATGCGACATGCTGCAAAGCATCAGAAGCCAAGACTGTGACCTGCGCTCTGCAGGCGCACCTGCTTTGCACAAAGAAAGGCGATATGCGCCATCATTGCTTTGCAGCCTTGATCCGATAGTACTCACAGTCATTCAGCGGCCTGACCTTACCAAAGCTGATTTGTTGGCCTGTTGAGTTTCGATCAATTCGAACGCAAGCGCTTCGACAAGTGCATCCGCGCAGCAGCTCCCCGGCTCGATGGCCTGCGCTGTGCTGCCCGAAACTTGCCAAACTCCGAAGACATTACGACCAGCCTGTCGTAAAACGCAGAATAGAAAGTTGTAATGCCATCAAGGTAGAGGCCCTGGTACGGGAGCAGTGGCACAGGAGCAAAGCTGGAGATTAAGAACTCAGCCACCAAGCTACTTAGGATGTCATGGTGCACCTCCAACTTCTGCAAGTCGTATCGGCCGATTCGCTCAAGAGGTTGTTGAGGCCGTGCCCTGCAATTGCTTTTATGGCAGTCCACGACAGTGCGGCTATCGGTGGACGGTCGGAAGTCAAGCAAACAGCAGGAGCCGCATCGGAACTGGACAGTGCTGCCGATTGAATCTCTTACAATAGAATAAAACGGCATTTGAGCGAAAAAAACATGCATAGAATGCAGTGCCTGCCAGCACACGAAGCCAGACATACTCGACACCAAACTCCTAGACCCCTCTGTTCCAAACCAAAACAAGAAAACAGGAGCCCGCATTGCTACAAGCAAGATTACACAAAAACGAAAACTCCTCACAGCTACAGAATGTCGTGGCAGTTTACAGTGGGTCCTGGATCACAAGGCCCGCCTGGTGAGCTCCACCAAAGCAGCCTCGGACCTGGACCAACCCATGAAGGTGGCGGCCAATACAACCTCACAGGGCAGAATCTCAGCTTTCCATGGGTGGCTGGCTGGGGTCCGCAGCAAATGCTGGTGCCGCAGCAACAGCAGAAGCAATGAGACCTCCAGAAAGACATGAGGGTAGGACCGGGATAGATCACGCATGCACCCTGCAGTTTAGTCACAGAGTGAGGCGAGGGCCAGATAAAGCCACTCCAGGCCCAACATAGCCGAGGTGCCGAGCCTCAAGCTTTGGACGTGACGGACATGACGTTTAACGTTTAACGTGCAGCAGCTTTTAAGCCCACAGCCCACGAGGAGCACAAGATGCCCAGCAAAGCGGCCTCCTTGGCCAAAGAAAGGCTACAGGCGAACCAGAGGCTGGTCTGAGAGGAGCACAAGCAATGCGGACCATGCCCAAAAACCTGCATGAAAAGTTTGAGTCCAGAGGCAGAATCAATGGGCGGATCTGCTCTCAAGCTCGGCCTACACCCTTGTTGAGCTGGGCTGCCTAGTGCAATTGCTGCACTTGCTAGAAATGAATGAGCAAAGGTGCTGCAAGAGTCTTCACCGCTCCTCTGGTGAGCTGAGCTGCTCGGGACGAGATGAGATGCGGCCTGCACCATTCTCTACGTGATTCCAAAAAACCTGCATCTCTCCAAAGTCTGGTGGGTGCAGCAGAATGCTAAGATCTGTGCGAAGCTCATCCAAAGCAGCAAGCACCGGGAGCAGCCGGCCAGCACGCCACAACGTTGACCTAACACAGCAGCGAGCTATATCTGTTGCTCTACCTTGGCATAGAGTGCAGTCGATCTTTTTCTGACTCGGCCAAATCTGATATTGCTTGGATCTCATTTGTCTGGCTGATCCTAGCTTGGGTCGGATTCGAAGTTGTTATGCAGCAAATGGCTAGGCCATCACGGGTCTCGCCTGTCATGCGCAAAATTGAATGCAACTCAGAACTGAGACCTGGCTGAGACGTGGCAAGTTGCATCGTCTGCAGGATCGGCTGCTTTTTTCTTCACATGCAGGCCGGCTTCACGCCGAACGCGTACGGAGGAGGTGCGACAGACCGCGGCAAACGAAGAACAGTCACCTGCGTTACGGCGATATTGTTTGCCCCGCAACCCAACCCAGGCCAGACAAGCTTCTGCTGACTGCACACACGCAAGCACAGTTTGAAACAATAGCTGCGCCTCGATTTCGGTGCCATCCTCCTTGAAGGCAACTGCAGTGCTATCCAAATCATCAAGCTGTTGCTTCTTGCAAAAAAGAGGCGGCTGTCTCCAGAATCCGAATGTCGGCATCCTCAGGGTAAACTGCCATGCACATCTTGCATTGTGTGAAAAGTCATGAGCAGAAATCGTCTCAGAGGATTTGAATGTTATAGATTATAGGGGCAATGACTGTAAATGGGCAATCCAGGTCCTCTCCATTGATTTTGAGGATGAGATCATTCTCCCGGAGCGTCTCTTGCGGATTCGACTGGTTGTGATCATACACCGTACCTCCAGTTCTGATGGGAGCGCTGCATAGCTAATAATTTTCGTCCGTGCCTTCAGGCAGGATCTCTATGATTCGCCAGAGATGATCGCCGCGCTTTGCCAGCTTCCTGTCTGTTTCTGTTATTATCATTGAAGATATTCGACATACGCAGAGCTTTTGAATGTGACAGGAACTTGAAGCAAGCGGGCTAGCGGCACACTTGTCGCATCTAATCTGAGCAACTGATCTACATTTTCAAAATCCTGAGGCCTTGTGTTTTCAGGCAGAAGAACCGATTTTGCAGTCAAGAATCAAGCCATATTTCCCCTTCTTCGTGAGCTTTGCCTTAGCGAAGGTCATGCTCCTCATTCTGTGAAGGTAACAGAGCGTTGACCTCCCCTGAAGCCAAGCGGCCGTGATCTGATGGCCGCTGGAAACCTTGTGACAGCGTAGTGAACATATCTGATAGCATCATGTGGGTCCGTGCGGCCGATGCATGCTTCGAATGTTGGGTGACACTGCCTGCGTGTCTTTGATCCCACAAGCATTTCTAACGCCTGTTTTGCACACAACCCGAAGCTACCGCTGAGTTACGCATTTCTCTCTCTCTCTCGTGTGATGCTGGCGACTGCAGGCGAGCTGCGTCCACCTCCCGCCTCTGTCGTCGCTCACTTTCGCTGTTTCTCCTGGCCTGGTGGGCATGGAAACATGGCACAGGCCAAGCCGGAGCAATTCCAACGTGTCCTTTGTTGAAGCCGCACATGTCCCAGGGGAAGCACTTGATACAGTTGCTAACGCACCTTTCGATGCTCGCAAGCAAAAGCAGCAGCGAAACGGGAAGCCACTTCCAGGCCTGATGCTCCATCAGCGCTTGCTCCAGAGCCCATTTAAAGGACTGGAGCCGCACACAAAGGACTTCTTTGCACTCTTGCACCAGTTCAAACAACAAGATCAATCACTCGTCTTCTCAAAGCAATAGAAGCCATGGCCTGTTGAGTCTTGCCCTTCTGTTTGCACAGTTGAGAGGGTTAAAAGTTCTGCACGTTGGAAAGTCTGTGCTCAGAGTTTTTGAGGGCAAGCAAACAGCTGCGAAAGATTTCGTGCTGTCACACGCAATGGCAACGGGAAGCAGCCGGTGGCTTTAACTGCCTTCATGCAGAGTGCTAGCCGAGCCGCAACTTCATGATGGCAACCAAAGCAACTAGGTCCACGGTTCATATTCCGCCGTGGTACGAAAGGCATCTGAGGTCCAAAAGAAATGCAGCAAGAAGGCTGTTCGCTTGGAAATTACCAGTATTTTCAGTATACCTGAGGAAAGTGCACGATTTTAGGGCATTTTGGGTGCAGAAAACGCGTTTCGTATTGTAAAATACAATACGAACTCTGCTTTAACTACCAGGGCTTAGGTTGTTTAGGGTTTTGGGGTTCTGGTTCAGGGCACTACGGAATGAACCTCGGGCTGCTTTTAACGTTTCAGGATTGCAAATTACTGCTCTCCGGCAACTCCTGCGTAGCAGGCATTCAAGCAGATAGCAGGGAGGCCCCTAAATCCCATCTTCGGTCGGCAGACCCTTACTTAAAAGAGGTATAGTCTAAACTCCGTACAGGGGGTTATATAGGGGATTAAATTGGGGAGTATTATAGGATTAATAAGGGGGATATTAGGATCTTAGACTAAAGCTTATATGGTAGTTTACCCAAACAGGAGAAGCTCCAATATAAGTCCCTAAATACAATCTAGAATCCTTAGTATGGGAAACCTGTAAAAGGTACCCCTAATTCTAAGAAGCCACTAAACCTAAGCCCTAGCTGGATGAACCCAGGCTGCGAAGTGGTCCCTAGACCCCCCCAAACCAAGCTGCTAAAACCCGGGACGGGACAGCCGATTTTGTAGGGTTTAGGGTTCAGGGTTGTATTGGGCTTCATGTTGGTTTGAGGAGGGTGCAGGTCAGAGTCATGAAGGGAATCACCCCGCGCACAAACCCAGACAAATGTTAAACCGTAGGCGCTGCGATTGGTGCCTTCGTCTTCCATCTTGGGTAGGATTAAACCGTAGACCCTATACCGACATCAAGGGAGTTGAGGGAGTTGGATCCTGTTCGGAAGTCCGTGGATAGTTTTCAGATTCCGGAGGTTTACAAGTCTCCGCAAGAAGGTCTTGTTTACAATTAGCCATCCTACTTAAAATCCCGGTTATAATTTCTCACGGGCCTCGCTCTACGCATCCTGAGAGGGACTTTGCACGCTCGTGAAGTCATGGTTCAACCTTTATGACTTGCTGAAGACGAGCATGCACAGAAAGCGGACCCGAATGCAGCGCATCTGTCCTGCAATGGCCTTCACTGAATGCTCATGCGGAGTAACATCTTCTCGTATTACCTTGATGAAGATGGATCCTAAACTCTTCGGGGCATTCAAAATTCTCTCACAACATATGTGTCATTTTTATGAATTCCTTTTTTTAGTAGGTAACTAACAAGACCTGTCTGAGAAGCCCTTTGTCTTCAAAGTCCCTTTGGGTCCCCTCAGCTTATTGCGGCGGAAGGAGCACCCAACTGTTGAGATGTAGAATTCGGCGATGAGCACTGGCTGGAGAGCCTATACTCTATACCTCCCATAGGACCCTGAACACCAAACTCCACTAGTCCATTGAAGGTAGCAACAACCTCCTTTTTACTGCCTTTTCCTTGTCGCCTACACCATGCCATACCATATGAGTCATATGAGTAGCGTTTTGTTACTGTACTCGCTTGTAGTATTTTAGGCGGTATTTTAGACGAAGGACAAAACCCTACGTTGCTTAGCCACCAACTAGCAACCCTCAGATCATGGCTGAATGTGAGCATCGTGAGCTTCGTTGCGGGTCTCTGAGCACGACACCCACCGAGAGCAGTGGGTTGGGTAGGGTTTCAAACGTCCTGATCCTGGCTGCCCCTTTGTTGAGAGTGCTTGTTCTACGTTCGGCAGAAGCCAACATGTTATCGTTGTACTTTCTGTGGTCAGTCTCCCATACCTGGATCTGAGCATGGAGAAAACAGGCACAACGTCAACAACAACACCAAGGTCAACAACAACACCAGCCGCGTCCGCAACTACACCTCTCAGAAACTTCAATTTCGTAGCCCAAGAAGGCTGGCAAGGATCATGACAGGCAAGTTTCGTGCACGCGGCCAGATAAAAAGTTGCTACTTGCATCACATAGGGTGGCATTTTGGTGCACAAGAGGCTACAGGGAAGTCTTGGTTGCCTTCTGAGCGGAAGCGGAGGGTTTACAGCTTCGCACGGTTCCATGGCTGATTATATTTGGTGTGTCCATGGGCTTACGGGATTTGGGTGTTTTAGAAATGAGTGTGGAACCTCATTGAAAATTGAGAGACATCCACATGAGAAGCATGCGGATTCGGCATTGTAGGTTCCTGGATGTTGGGGACCTGGCAGCCTTAGCATCTGCATTGACTCTCGTATGTGCGCGTATCTGCATTCGAGTGGCGGCCGAGTTGTTGCTGTTGCTTCTTAACAGTAACGGTAGCAGTGACAGCAATAAGAAAGAACACGACAATGATGGCGGCGATGATGATGATGATGATGATGACGAGGTCGTCAGAGTAGTAGTAGCAGTGGTGTAGCAAGTGTAGCAGGTGTAGCAGCAGCAGCAGCAGCAGCAGCAGCAGCAGCAACAGCAGCAACAGCAGCAACAGCAGCAACAGCAGCAACAGCAGTAGTGCTAGTTGTAGTAAGTGTTGGTGCTGCAATAGTAGCAATAGTAGTTGTTGTAGTAGTCGTCCTCGTCCTCGTCCTCGTCCTCCTCCTCCTCCTCCTCCTCCTCCTCCTCGTCCTCGTCCTCGTCCTCGTCCTCGTCCTCCTCCTCCTCGTCCTCATCCTCGTCCTCCTCGTCGTAGTCGTAGTTGGAGTAGCAGTGGGAGTAGTACTATAGTAGTAGTAGTAGTAGTAGAAGAAGAAGAAGGGCAGTAGCAGTAGCAGTAGCAGTAGCAGTAGCAGCAGCAGCGACGGCAGCAATCCCTTCCCCCCTAATATTAAACGACGTCACCCCCCACCCCGGTAATGTGAGATAATCCAGGTCCCGAAAAATGTTTGACATTAGGGGGGATGTTATTTATTGAAAGAATTCGATAGAGCTGCCTGTATAAATCTTTCTACATTCTGTGGAGATCCAATAATTCATGAGTTAAATCAATTAATCAACTATACTAATTCATAACTGAATCTTTAGTCAATTGAGATCATTTATGTACTTAATCAATCCAATTGAACCACCCAATTCGTCATTAGGCGGTCCCTTCTGAAGTAGTTTTGCCCTTTTGAGAGTGCCTATCCTGATTTTTAGCCCCTGAATTTGATATTTAACATTAGGGTGGACGGATTGCATCCTATGCGTGGAAGCCAGGGACCTAACCCCAAGATTCAGGCGAGGAGCTCAATTTTGGGGTATGTGTCATGCTTCTTTTCAACAAGACCTTTCCAATCTTTTGTATTGTTGTCTAAGCAGAGGCGGGATAAAGGGAACATGGACCATTAGAGGTCGGGGGGGGGGGGAGTGTTATGGACAAAGAGGACGGGATTGTTTGTGGCAATTGGTGGTACCCATCTTTAGAGTGCAGAGATCTTACAACATGAGAGTCAAAGCTCGTTTCTTTTGATGGACCTTCATGAAGCCCTAAGCCCTAAGCCGCATGTCAAGTGGCTCAAGCGCCACCCCTGAACAGTAAATCCTAAGGGTCATCCCCCATTACAATAACAGTTTCTACAATGGATAAGAGGAGTTATATTAGCCTCTTAATAAGACCCATCTACCCATCCAAAGCAAATCCTAATCTCAAAGCCCTAAACCCCGAACATCTCAAAGCCCCATTGTTGTAGGACCAGCTGCCTGCTAGCTACCATTGGCGCCGGTGTGCTGTGCAGCATGGATTGCGGGTAGAGGCCTTAGGATTTAGGGCTTAGGGTATAGATTTCAGGATTCAGAACTCTGGGTTTAAGATTTAGAGTGTTGAGGCTAGGACTCAGGATGGAGTTTTGAATTCTAGAGAAGCTGTCGCTATGGAACTAGGCAGAGCCTATCCAAGCTGATGGCAAGCTGCTTTAAGTTTGACGTTTCTAAACGCACGGCTGTGGGAGCAAACTCCCTACTGTAGTCCCGCATCTGAGCCATAAGGCGGTTACATAGGGGATTACATAGGGTTTAGGCTTAGGGTTTAGGGCCCAAACTCCTAAGGGGTTCCACAGGGGACTACTATAGAGGATATCAAGGAGGATACTAAGAGTTTAGGCTATATCTCATATGAGCTCCAGAACCAGCCAGTATCTTCAGAATGCTTAATATCAATGTACAACATCATAGTCCTGCATAATTCTCACGAATGCTGTTTCCAGAGCATTGCATATGCATGCGCAGTGCCAAGCTTTTGCAAAATGGAGTTTGTGTAGCTTGTCGAAAATTAGGCCTTTTCCTGCACCCTAAACTTTAGAGGGTTTACGGTTTAGGGCATTACGCTGGGGCCCAAGAAAGGGACTATAGTGCTGATCAGTCGCACATTTGCTGCGAGAAGGAGAGACCGGTTCGCGACAGGCTACAGAAGGAAAAAGGGCTGCTGCTGCTTGCTTAAGTGAAGTAGTCAGAGTCATAGTCATGGTCAAGGAATAGAAGCAGTAATTTAGCTGAATTCCCAATTGCGGAACAGCCACCTGGATGAGGCCTAAATGCTTCCAAATCTTTATGATGAGAAGTAACCTGCCTGCTGGAGCTGCCCAGAACCTATTGCAGAAGGTTCTGCTTCAACAGTCTGGCAGGTTTTTTGGCAAAGATTGATACAGCATTCGCTGGTTTAATTCTTCGAAGGTATCGGGCAAGCTCGGACCGAACTGACAC